ATCTGTCAGAATCTAGAGGACAAAAAGTCAGAACAATACCTCTGCTTTCCCCTCCCACTCCAACTAATAATTCAGATACTTGAGTACAGTTCTGGAGTATTGCAGTGCCCACTGTTCAGTTAGAGCATTGAAATATATTGAGTTAGTTACTGCATCCCCCAGGGAATCTAAAACACTTATGGAACAGTGAGTGCAGTAAGTCCTTACCCATAGAGTATTCTCCTACAAGGTACTCTTTAACCTCTGACTTGTTGCTGCTGTGCACTGTTTCCAGGGCACTGAACAGGGGTCTCCATCCCGACTGGATCTGGGTAGAACACATTTCCACCAACTCTCCTATAGAGGTGACCACCTGTAGACAGTGTAGGAGGGGTTAAAAGAACAAAACCAAAAAATAGAACTGATATATAGATGAATCTTCAGAAGGAATACCAATGCCTTCAAACAGATTCCTAGATTTCACTATGGCAGTCTAGATTAACTTAATATTTAAATTTCTTTAGATAATAGAAAAGCTTTATTTAATTGCTTTAAAGCCAGGTGTACTGTCTCTGTGCTCTACCACAATGCTGGCTTAGGTAGGCAGAGCACTCTTAATTCCTTGAAGATGATTAAGGGACAGCATTTGAAGGGAATTTGGGAAACACTCAGGTGGACCAAGTGCACTCTGGAAACCATTCTTCTTACAGGCATGGTAGGCCAGATACAGACACCCCAATCAGAACTGACTTGCCTGGTCCTGAACATCCTCATCACACAGCTCTAGCTGCATGATGCGCTCAAAGGGGCGGAAAAGCGCCTCATTAAAGTGGAAGTGAGAAGGCTCATTCCAGTCCATCAGCACTTCAGTGAGGATGTCGTGGATGAAGGAGACAGCCTTTCGAGACACATGCCTCTCCTTATGACAGGCAGCCTGCAGGGAAAGGAGAAGAATTAGAGCATGTGCAAGAGAAAACATTTGGTTTTAGTGAGACATTTTTAAGGGTGGTAAGCACTTCATGTTGCTGAACCCTAAAAGTGGCTTCACCACTGATGTTACTAGGGACCCACTACAATGAAAATGAGACAGTACTGCCATGGAAACAGATCACTGAGACTCTGAGCTGCTGGGAGTTCCACAGATGCATAAAGGTTTATTAACAATTAAAAAAGTACAGAGCTAAAAATAAATAAATTAAATACTAAAACCCACAGAACAAAGCTCATGTGAAACATTGTCCTTTGTTTCTACTGTGTGACCATTTTTCCCTTCAAAAAGTTAGTTTCTGCAAATATTCACCATACCTATCTAGGCATGAACAAGTGCCATTTATTTGGCTATTTATGGAACTTAGAGTTTCTTGACACTTTTGGAAGAACTGTTGAAAAATTAAAGAGCGGTGAATCTGAATATAAAGTTACCATTTTGAGCAACTATGCAGGTTATCCTTTCTGTGATGTTACTTTTTACTGATAATCTCCTCATCTTCGATGCAGTCAACCCAAAAGTCTGACCACTCCTGCATCTAAAAACATGGGTGGCACTTGAATTTAAAGTAGTGTGGGATCTTAAAAGACCTTTAAGTGTTCAAAACATGCAAAGTATTTAAAGAGATCTCAGGCTGTTATACAAAGGCAAGTAGGACACTGGTTTTCAAGATAAAGGGCTGTAAAGCACACAACAAAAGCATTCTTTGTTATTTCTACTTCACTTAGAGGGATTCCATTGAGACTTCTTGATGTCTGATCTCTACTGTAAGATGGTCCACATATTTTCTCAAGTCAATGAAAGAAAGTGCTATGGCAATTTACTGAACAACTCATCTTAAGACTTCAGATAAGCATGCTCCCAACAGACCTGGGCAAATGACACCACATACCTCACTAACAGAAAGAAAGGAAGTACAGCACATTTATTCATACCAATGATACAAATCAAAAAGCTCTGAGAAGTCAAGACACCAGCATTTCATCAGAAAGGACTGAAAATTTGACTGAGGAAATGTCATTTGTTATGATTGAAATCCATTTTGTGGCTGCTGCTGGCATGCCACTGAGCAGTGTTCACAAAGAAGCAGAAGGAAAGGGAAAAATGTCATAATCCTTCCAGCTGGCTTTATGTAGGAAAAGAAACCTGCCTCCTTTTATGGGAAGACTTGCAAGGCTGCAGATCTTGACTGGGAAAATAGGTAGATGGAGGAGTTACTTATAGCCTCTTGGTGTGGTTTCAGTTTTTTCACCAGATGCATTTTGCATCATATTGCAAAAATCCAATCCCCTGTCCCTGGTCCTGCCCATTTCAGTTACTTAAAAGCACATTCCTTTGTGGCAGTATCACAGTATATGACACAGTTTATACAATACCTAGCAGATTTCACAATGTTGAGAGTTGTTATACATTTTAAGTGCTATCAAGACTTCTGCATGTTTTTCAGCTTTGCCATCTCTTGAACACACGCACATTTTTGTCCCCCATTCCTACCTCTACAAGGTGAGGTGCCACCAGGCTCCAGCAGCGCATGAGGTGGAGCAATGGGCGAGATTTACTCCTTACAATTCTGAGCATGGCATCACCAAGTCGGAACAAGTGAAGTGCACTCCTCCTGTCCTGGGTAGATTTTACTTCACCTACAAGAAAGTATAAGAAAATAAATGGAAGCTAAGCATCAGCTACTTCTCCATCTCTAAACGTCTAAATTGGAATTGAAATCAGGTTGAAAATTATTTATTAAGTCAGGGGGAGGTTTAAGGGGGGATGAGAAAAAGGAAAAAAACAAAAAAAACCTCCAATGTAAAACACAGCCTATACCTGCGTAAGTAAAAGAACATGAGATGGATCCAAGTTTTAAGAACAACTTAAAGTATTAAACATACTTTATTTGGACTTAAGTGATCACTCTCTTTTTTTTACAAAAGACAAAGTCTTGGAGAAATACTGCAGGAAAGTCAAGCAAGTAGTTAAATAATTGATAGTAAGACCCAAAATGGTAGTTAAAAAAGCCTTTGGTGACATCTACAGGAAAGAATATAAACTGCAAAATATTTAGTTTGAGTATTTAATTTTGTATTTCTTATCAAGCAAAGGATACAAAGAACAGAATGTGAGAAAAAGCTTTTTTGTTCCCCAGTCACTAATATTTGTTATTTGCTGTTAAAAGGGATTCATCTTCCATTGCTCTTACAACATTTGGAGAGATATTTCATCCCCTCATTAAAAATATACTGGTGCTTTTATCTCTAATGAAAGATATAATCAGGGGGCATCCCTTAAAACAAAAAATTTTTTAACGTAAAATATAGCACTTAATTGCTCTATCCTAATTTCAATTTCATTATTACTAACTACTGTGGATTGACTACTACATACATGACAAGAGGATAGCTATTTATTAAAACTAGTTATGAATGTTGAGGTCTGAAGACAAAGCAAGAGCAAAAAACCAATCAACTTGAAGTGTCATATTGGCAAATGACAAATAGCACTTCAGGGAAAGGGGAAACCAATTAAACTGGAGACATATATCAGATAAAATCCATGTTTGCTACAGGACAGAACAGAACCTGTATGACTAATGTAGCTTCTACAGGCACAGTATAAATTTTAGTGAAAGATCTTCCTTTGTCCTCAATCCTTCTGACCTATTTGAGACAGTGATGGAAACAACCATTTACAGGCTTTATACTGTAAGATACATGCCCCATCCACTCTGTTGGGGAAGAGCAAGCAGGGCAAATCCCACTGCTTTATTTAACATTCTTCATTTGTGTGCTTTGTTTGCTATTACCCATTTTCTGAACACTTCTGAAGTTACCCCACTGTCAAAGGTCTAACCTAAATCCACTCTTTTAGGTCCACATTCACCCAAGTTTTATACTGGACTAGGCTCCAAAGTGGAGTTGTGATTAAGTATCTGCAGATAATTAACACCCCCAAGAATGAAATTAATGTCCTCTGAAGTGTTTCAAAGCAGGTGTGGATGTGATCCCTGCCCCAAAAAAGTGCTCGGCCTTTTCTAAAGACTTTGAATTGTTCCTACAGAAAGATCTTATTAGACTAAATTCTGTGTTTTATTTATATCTTGAAATTTCAACTGGAAAAAATCAGAACTGTAAGAATACAAAGTAGTCCTGTAAGCAGTACAGTTGTATATGAAACAGTTTGTAAGGGATCTTCAGGTGACTTACCCGGCATTGCTAGTGAGTAATCAACTGTATCTGTAACTGAATGGAAAAGCTGGGCCTGAGAAGCCTTCTTGAGCTGGTAAAGGAAGCCTGCCAATGCCGTCAAGTTTAACTTGTCAGCAGCATCTTCAAAGAGCCTATAAGCAAAGAACAGAATCTAACTGAAAAATTCATGAGATGCAGACTTAAATGTGTATGTAAGAGGAAAACTCTTATCTGTTATGCCTGGTATGTGTTGCCTTTGGTGACACATTGGGTTATTGAGGCTTTTTCATTTATACAGTGCTACAGAAAGACTTTGATCCAGAAGCTTTATTAATTGGAGGGTTGCTATGGGACCAACCAGAATCTTTTGAGATTCGACTATGGTACTGTAACAAAAAGTCACTTTTTCAAAGCAGTTCATGAACCACTAATAAAAAGCCCGAACAGTTAAAACATGCCCAGTCCTCACAACACAGATCATCATAGCTTCACTGACTTTAGAGTTACACCAGCTTGCTCCATCTGAAGTCACAGAGCCTTACATGAAAAACTAAGTCTTAGAACTGAAGTTACTGTACCTGAATGGTTATTTTGGAACACTGTGTGGTTTTGGCTGGGGTAGAGTTAATTTTCTCACCATGCCTAGTATGGGGCTATGTTTTCATTAAACTATAACAAATATAAGCCAGAGTCCTTATTTTCAGCTGCAGTGAGCTCATAAGATTTACCCGTTAAAATCTGTACACTTAAAGAGTAAACATGTTTACACAGGAGGTGGGTTCCACAGAGACTACAGTGAAATTTCACATGGTGCAGCCAGAAATTGACAAAAATATGATCTTCTGACATTGTTTTTCATGAAAAACTTTCTATAGTCCCAGGAAACTGGGGATTGAGTCCTAATAAATGTTCACACTGAAGTAAAAGTGTGGAAATCAAACCTGCCTCATTAAGATTACAGTACTGCTATTCTCTAATCCTCAGAACCAAGTTGTATTGTGAACTTCCTAAATAAAAGATACTTTCTATGCCCACAGTCAAACTTCTACAAGCAGTTTACGCATTACTTTTGGCTCTGAATTTACAAATAATGGCTTTCTATGGGCAGAGATCAAGATGTAAAATGTCAGCTGGAGAAAAAAGATAATTATAAGCCTGCAAACCCAGCAAATTTTCAACTCTAGCCTGGGCTGCTTAAAAAATAGTAGAAATAACGTAAAAGTCTGAGACAAATATTAGTCAGCAGACCATGATGAAGGTGGGCCACTTGGTGGCCCTTCCTCCTCTGGACACACTGGGGACATCTGACAAACAGTCCTGACAGAAGCAGCTGCTTTCTGACACAGTCTTGTCACTCAGTCCCTTCCTGTCAGGACAAGACACCCACTTATTTTGTTTGCTTTACTGAATATAACAGATTAATTTACATGCAAGAAATAAATCCATCGCTCTCAGGATGCATTTGATTTATGTGGCATATTCACTGTTGTGCACAGACATACTCAGCTCAGTAATTGCAAGGCAGGTACCACAGAGATGAAAAAAACAGGTCTTTTAGAAACTGCTGGTTGTGACAAACATGCAGTCCTCTTGAGAAATTCAACTGAAGCAAGTGGCTGCAATGAACAAAGATTAGACTCACTGCAGCACAAAAAGGGCCATTTTGATACTGTTTTGGGAACAAGGATCCTGGTTCCTGACAGCATTGCTTTTACCTGTCAGCTTGCGTGGAGAGTGTGAGAACAGCCTTGGCAGCACTGGTCCCACACAGCAGACTGCCTCCACGGAATTCAAAAGCTCTGCCCTTACTGTTGTCCTTGATGAGATCCTGGATAGAAACGGGTTGAATGACAGGATGGCTGCTGAGGGTGGTCTCCTGCTCAGGGGTGAATGCCTGAGGAGAGTCACCAGGCTCAGAGGCTGGGTGTAGCCCTCCAGGTGCCTGCTGTGACTGGGTGATGGTAAGGGAGGGCTGGGAAGCACCATCACTGAAGTGAGTGTGCTCCAGAGTGCTGATGTACTCACACACCCTGAGAACAAACAGAAGAAGCAAAAGATGAATAAACACCCCAAAGCACCAACTCCTCCCCCCACTAATCACAGGCTCACTGAAGAAATGCTTGGGTCTGTACTCCAGAGTACTCTTGGCTACCACACAGCCTTGTAAGTGGAAGAAGCCAACTGACATGGAAACCTGCTGCCAATTCACAGGCACTGATTTCTACATTTGAACCAGATACAATGCACAGGACATTTTCCTCAAACCATAAACAGACAATCTCTAACTCTCAAACCACACAGAGATAACCTTTCTTCTTACGTCCTTTGACCTCCCATGTGCCTAGATAGCAAACAGTTTGGTGGAGGTGCCTTAAAAGCCCATTTAGGTTCCTGTGTCTGGTACAGTTTTCTGATAGTTTTGAAGTTTCTAAGTATTGATTTTTGTCTCTGAATAGCAGTGCAAAACTGCACCGTCTTATCTTTTAGAGGTGCTGGCAGTTAATTCAAACACTGTTTATACAGAACATTCACAGAGTCTGTAAAGCCCTTTTTCTCAGTCTGTTACTTTCAGCTAACATAGTATAAATTCTGGTTATTTTGTGAAAGTTGGTAAGTACCTGAACACATGAGGCCAACAGTCTTGATTGTGGCTTCCCATCTCCAGACCCACATTAAGGACTGCATCCATACACAAAACATGAGCAGTGTGCAAGCAGACTCCCTGCATTTTTCCCATCTGCTCCAGTTTCTGCTCCACTTTCTGTTTCACTGTAGCACAGGGAAAAAAAAAATTAATTTCTCCAGTTTTTAAACAAACACTGGTGTGTATATAGAGTGATGGCAAAGTATTACACACTGAAAGCTATAAAAACCATGGATTTAGACAAAAAACAAACCAGAGAAACTAATTTCTTCCTAATAAATTTAAGGTAGTTTTAAAATTAAAATCCCTTTTGACTGATCCTATATACAAGAAAAAAAAAAACAATGCTAGATTGACACTCGCCACCCCCAAATTCACATCTTGTTGCCCACAGAACAGTTGCAGATAGCCAGTGATATTACATATTTCTCTTCAGAGACAGCTGGCTGGCTATTTACTTATTTTTAACAAAATCTTCTTTGCTATGAAAAAAAAGCATTTGGGGCTTTCATATCCATTCCCATACAAAAGTTTCACCAAAGAGTTTTTGTTAATGGATACTCTTTTCAAAGCAAAACTAATCTTAATCTGAACTACAAGCATTTGGACCCATTTTTTTTCCTAAGAATCCTTGAAAAGCTTAGTTTTCATGCTGCATCGGAAAGGATCAAATTTTGAAGCTTTGCAAGCTTACACAGAACAGATCTGTTGGCCTCTGGCCACTGCTGCTGCCTCCTCTTTGCTTCAGCATGGCCTGGCCAAGGCACTGCAGCCATATCTAGCAGAGCGATCAAAAGCTTGTTTTAGCTCAGGCTTTTTCAGTTTTGTTTTCTCTACTGAAACACCAAATTTAAGTGCCAAGCAGGGTCATTCATGCAACACTGTGTTTTCTTACGGGCTTCTTGCCATTATAAATCAAGGGTAATCAGACAAACTTTATGTACTTCTCCAAACAGTCATTGGAGACAACAATTGACTTTACTGACTTCCACTGAGTTTGAGGTGGTGGTATAGAGATGGAGAACTTTTTAGATGTTATAAAGATATATTTTTTATGCTATTTTCATTTAACATGATTCAGAGACAGTTTTAAATATCTGACAATCTGATGAAAGACAACCAAGGATGTATACACAGGACAGGGAGAAGGGGACAAACTCAGCTTATATTACCACCCAACACATAAAAAACCCCAAATAATTTCGTCTTTTGATGCCCTCTAGTTGTACTACTATCACAAGGCTTAAAAAACACACATTAAAAAATGTTGTTGACTTATCTGTTGTTCCACTGATTTCAGCTGCATTTTAAATATAATTAGTGGGGCATAATGTTAAGAACCTAGGACAGCAGAACACGTACTGAAGATATACATCCCATATGCCTACAAGTGAGTGGTGCTCAGTAGAAGAACGACAGAGGGGAATGCCACTATGTGTGGCAAAGTGCTTTCCAGCTGCACTTTTGCAGGCAATATTAGTTAGGTAATTTAATCACATAGTTACCTTGAGCTATAGTATCACTGGGTTCTTGGATTTCTTTTTCCTCTTTCTCTTCTTGGACACAGGAGGCAGCAGCCATTTGGGCAAGAGCAGATGCACAATTAGCAGCAACTCCTGTAAAGCAACAACACAATTACTGTTTGGCCAACATTTCCTCTCCAGTCCCATGCAAACTCAACAAGAGACAGTGTTAAGGAAAGTTGGGTGGCTATATCTATGCTGTAGGGCAGATGCACTCTATGTGGATTGCCACAATCCATGTTCCTATCCAAAACTGGAACTGCATGCTGCATTTTTCTCTCCCAGAATCCTTCTAGGAAAGTTACCATCCTATTTTATGAGTCTATCAGGGCATCCCACATGCAACAGTACCTAGAGCACAGCTCAGCCGGGCTGCCCTCCTCAATCCATCCAGGCTCATGCAGATGGAGTCCTTCTCCTTTTGGTTCTGCTCCTTGGCTCCTTCTGCTCCCAAGATGAAAGCCAGCCCCTTGGAGCTGCCTGCCATGCGGCCAGTCAGTGGGGTGGACAAAGTGTCAATCAAGTTCTTCCAACAGCCGATTAAAAGGTATCGGGCAAAAGCAACTCCTGGAGTGGGAAAAACATTACTACTACTACTGGAAAATGTAGTAGTAGTAACTACTACAACTGCACATAACAGCAGCTGGTAAAAAACCAAGTCACATTTGTCTTTTGCACACTGAACGAGTAGTTCATGTACAATGTACTGATATACTTTCCTCAGCCCTTAAATTGTTATTCTACACAATTTATCCAAATATATTTTTGGTATATAACAACCCACTGCTGGTAGACACACTTGCACTTATAGTACGGTCTTAATACCTGCAACAACAGAATCATCTGTCTTCTGGTTTTGGGAAAGAGGAGATTGAGCTGAAGCAGATGCCATCAATTGGCCACCAATTGCACTGCTTCCCAAGCCATCGATGTCTGCCAGAACATTAAAAAACATCAGATTACTATTTGACACACAGATGGTACAAGGAAAGTATTTCCTGCTGGCTCTTTGTTCAAGTAAGTGCTATCACTCCTGTCTTCTCAGGCTTTTTAATTACTCTTTCTGGCAGCTTACTGAAGCCTTGGCATAAACATGAGCTGTGGCATCTTATGCTTTGTCCATAATAGCCAGTGTTTTGTTGAAGAGGGGAAATATCCCACTCTCAAAAGCTGGCCCTCACCACCCTGCTCCCCAAGTTACACAATGAACGGAACTCCCAGTAAAGATATAATGATATTTCTTACAGTTGAGAACTTACCACACACTTAAATCTATGCATTTCTTAGTATAAAATTTTAAATCTCGGTAAATCCTGTATCTAGATGTTCCCAGACCTCAGTCTGAGTCCTCAAGATGCACTGGAATCCTATGTCTTAAAAGTAATTTTTAGGAGACCTGTGTAGGTTTAATTTCAACAACAGAAATACAACCCTTTCTCCAACACAATAAAAGATCAGCTGTTCACAGAGAGTTTAATGTTAGGGACACTAGGTTGATTTCTAGCAGTCCCTTTTCCACACACTTCACGGCTATTGTTTTTCCAAAGTGTTTCTTTCAGCTTTTTAGCTCAATAGCTAAAATAACACTGAGCTCAGTACAATCAGCAAAAAACTTTCAGAGCAGTGCCCTTTGATTACCAGTTAATGGCTCAGTTGAAGTCAGAGTTCTCCCTGCATATACTGGTTTAATTACATACATATTAAAGCACACAGTGCATTTTATATCAATAAAATATTATAGCCATCCTGCTGTCTTTCAACTGATACAATTTGATTTTTTTCCTTCAAATGAAGCTAAGGATTGTTTTCAAGCATTTGTTAGGGGTGCTCCAGGTTTTCAGTTTCTCTGTAGTGCCATTTGGCATATCGCTGGCATAGAACAAATCTGAACCAAGGGAAGTCCAATCTGTGGAAGGCTTTCAGGATCAGATGTCACTATTTATATTTGTACTGCACCACAGGCACACTGAAATGGCTTTGCTATGACATCAAGAAAACAGCAGCCTTATTGCTTATCATTAAGTCTACCAGAACTGAAGCTGACAGAAATAAGAGATGTTTTGATTCAATGAACAAAACTACTCTCCCTGTCTCCCACAGACAGGCTTGATTTTTTTAAACCCACACTTCAAAAGCATTCTGATGATCCAAACCAAACATTTAAGTACTTGCCACAGCTAAGTCTGGTCCCTTCTCTACTGACAACTTCCTGAAACACCACATTTTGTATGTAATGCAATGAAGCAGTGTGTCATTGCAGCTTGTTTTAGACGTGTTTTGAAGTTAGCCTTGCCACCATAATATAGTACTGACCAGTCAGCATGCTGATAAGTGGAAGACTGTGCTCCTCAGGGCTTCCCCAGTATCCAGCTTCCCCCAGCATGTTCCTTTCTAGCACCTGGTGGTACAGTTCTTCAATCCAGGCCTGGGAAAATACCATCAACACTCCACTGGACTGGACCTGCTTCATGAACTCCTTCTGCAGAGAACCATAAAAGCCAGATGTAAGACAACAGTAAGCCTCACAACATGAGCCTCAGTCGCCAAATTTACTCTGAGTAAGGAACTGCAGGAGTAGAAATGAAGTTATGCAAAGATAAGAATTAACTGAGGATTGAAATAATATAATTGTTAAGGTTGGAAAATATCCTTAATATCATCAAGTCAAACAGCAGTGAACAGCATCATCACCATGTTCACCACTAAACCATATCCTCAAGTGCCATACACACACACTTTTTGAACACTTTCAGGGATGGTGAATTTACCACTTCCCTGGGCAGTCTGTTCCAGTGTTTTGAAACCCTTTCTATGCAAAAATTTTCCTAGTATCTAGTCTAAACCCTCCTCTGCCACAGCTTGAGGCCATTTCCTCTCGTCCTGTTACTTGTTACCTGGGAGAAGAAACTGATCCCCACCCCACTACAACCTCCTTTCAGGTAGTTGTAGAGAACGATAAGGTCCCCCTGAGCCTCCTTTTCCCCAGATTAAACAACTCCAGCTCCCTCAGCCACTCCTCATACAAATTACTCTCTGGACCCTTCACCAGCTCCACTGTCCTTCTCCAGACATGCACCAGCACCCCAATGTCTTTCCTGAAGTGCGAGGCCCAAAACTGAACACATCACTTGAGGTGCAGCCTCACCAGTGCCGAGTACAGGGGGACAATCACTTCCCTGGTCCTGCTAGCCCCACTGTTTCTGATACAGGCCAGGATGCCATTGGCCTTCTTGGCCACCTGGGCACACTGCTGGCTCATGATCAGCCAGCTGTGAACCAGCACCCCCAGGTCCTTTTCTGCCAGGGAGTTTTCCAGCCACTCTTCCCCAAGCCTGTAGTGCTGCACAGGGTTGTTGTGACCCAAGTGCAGCATCTGGTACTTTGCTTTATTGAACCTCACACAATTGGCCTTGGCTCATTGATCCAGCCTGTCCAGATCCTCCTGTATGTGTCTCTACAGTGGAGAATGACATGAACAAGGAGCTCTCCCTTTTCCTATCGCAGTTAATGCAAATCATAATGACAGTTCTTGCACAGTGACAATAGGATATGCTGATCTCTCACTATTTTCACAAGGTAGGAGTAGGATCTCAAATCCAACAAAAAGAGGTTGTGGTATCTAACTCTGCCTGTCCAGCAATTGGGCCCGTCTGCATGAACAGTTATCACAGATGAACTGGTGTCCAATTATACATCAGAATGATCTCCAAAAATACTTTGGTCACGCTCAGGCCTACTGTGCACAGTGATGCCCCTAAAGAATGTTCTGAGCCACGGATTTGCACTTGCAGCAGCTGCAGAACATACCAGAACTAAGGATGATGCTAAACTCCATTTGTTTTTGAGATGATCTAGAGTATAATTTCTCTTACACTGGAAGCTCAGCAATAATGATACATTTTTACATAATTTTTTGTTGTTGTTCTATATATCACAATTTGTTTTTCTTTTTAAGAAAACTCTGAAACAACTTCTCTTGAGCAACTTAGTTGAAAAACATAGATTCATGTTTAAGAACTCTTGCAGGCTTCAAAACAATTTTTAAAAACCCCAAGAAGGTGAGGAATTTGAGGTGACACAAAAATAATAATTTCACATTATTAAAATCTAGTTATTTTCCACTTTAACTTCTCATGTCTTGAACTATGGAAATACAAATCAAGTATTAAGCAACAAATTTGTCATCAGGCTCAAAAATAGTTGCAAGATGAAAGTATGTTTATGCCCATTATCAAGAGACAATACTTGCTATATCACATGATGCCAAGGAAAACAGTTTATCCATCAAAGTGACTGCAACTTTAATGACAATCAGTAAGCAGCATTCATTCCTCCACATTACAGAGAAGCTGTGTAATTCAAATGCATGACATTTATCATGCAAGATTCATAAGCAGTCTGGAGAACGCTTCATTTGCAATTACTATTTCTCCACTTAGCGAGCAGCCTGAAGGCTTTATGTGTGGGCTGGCTTATGTGAAGAGAAGCAAAATAAATCTTCATTTTTTTTTAAACAGATTTCCCATATTCCCCAACTCACCAGCAACACAGGGGCCTGGGCAGGCTTCTTCCTGTAGTAATCTGAGTTGGCCAATTTTAGGTTAAGCAGGAGAGTGTAATGTGATACCACGTAGAGACTGTCTGCATTCATCAGAGTCTGGAAGTTGAAATTTAGGGTTCCCTCAAATCCTGGTGAGTGCATCATACCTAACAAAAACACCATGTGAGCTCTCACATTTTACACAGATTTTTCCTGGAAAAAAATATCAGAAACTATTCCTAGCATTTTGGCAGCAATAGATTGCTAGAATAGTTAATGAGTCATCAGTAAAAATTACTAAATGTACTAGAACAGGGAACAGAAAAATAAGTGGTTCATCTAGAATGCAGTGCTACAAGACAAACTGAACACTCCAGTCACAGTCCAGCAAAGCAAACATGCTAAATTTGAAATACTCAAGGAGCAGCACCATTCATTGGGATGACTGCCAGGTACAAAGCAAAGGGCAGGATACATCTGCAATGCCAACTGGAAAGGTGAGGTGTGAAGGGGCAGACACAAGGCCTGTGTATTTAACTGAGAACATTTTACCAAATGGTGCTAATGAGGTTAATAGCCTTTTTAACCCCCCAGTAAATCTGTTCTGGCTAAATCAGTTGTTGGATGGGGACTGGAGTGCTCAGCACCTTGCAATCAGGCTGTAATCATCATTCTCTCCATGGCCTAGAGGTATGTGGACAAATACCTGGGGCCAAGCTGGCTGGAACTTGTTACAACTCCAAGCCCTACTTAGTTCATACAAGACCTACTTTGTAAATGGCTGAGCACTTTCAGTTCTGTCAGACCAAGAAGACACCTATAAGCATTCAGTAGTCCTGAAAACACTACTGGTATGAAACGACAGCCTACAACCATGTGGCACAATCCCTTCTTCCCATGGATGGCACATACATTTTCCTCTGAGTTAGCTGACCTACCGGTAGAAAAACATAAATCAAGTATGAGCAACACCTAATTGAATCTCCATGATCTATAGCTTGAGCCATGAAAAAACAAGAAATATTAGATCCCTCCACATGACTCACAGTATTTAATGGTTTTCACATCAACTGTAAAATCCATTCATATAATGTCAATTAGTGAAGATCAAGGAGTAAGCTTTATCCTAGAGAACGTTTGAAATGAAACAAAAAACAGCTTCCAAGGTTAGTTACATGATGAAGCAAAGCTGCATCATTTGTTAACTGCTGCAGTGGTTTACCGTGAATATACTCCTCCCACCATAAAGCTCACACCTCTTCTTAGACAAAATACAACAAACCATTAACATTAAAAAAAAAAAATCCACACACAGAAAAGAAGCAAATGTTTTTCTTGCCTCGTGAGGGTTTGAAAGCTCTTTGCTGCTGCCTTCTCGGACTTTCCACTGTCGTCACTTTGGGGGCGTGGATAAGGTGAGTAACTGTTTGAGGGTGGATTTAGAAAGAGAGTAACTGTTCCAGGGTGGGTCTAAAAGATGAATAGCTGTTCAAGGGAGCAACCTTTGTGGAAGAGGAGTGATAGGGCTGGCTACAAACCATACCCACACAGGCTGGCATGTACTTGGGGTAGATTTCTCATGGTGAACATTAACAGAGAATCTTTAACCAAAACTGCAACCACGTGCTTGAAAGTAGCCCGTGAGTAGCTCTACTGATTTCATCGCTGAAGGCAAAGATGAATCTTAATACTTTGTTGGATGGAGGATCATGATATTGATGTGGCTATCTTAAGTCTCATTGATTTGATGTCTTATCTTTAAGACTAGAATCTGCTAGAGTAATAAAAACCTCAAGGCAGAGAGGTATGTAAAAGAAAAAAAAAAAACAAACAACAAAAAAGCCTACTCTACTTTGCATTAAAATATTTTAAAAATTGTGCAACAATACAAGACTACAATTAAAAAGGAAGGTGTAGAACTGCACAGAAAAGTGGATACTACATATTAGTAGCACCAAAAAGTGCTTACGAAAAATATGATCCCCGGTTTCCTCTAATATATGGGGAAATAAACTGCATTTAAGAGATTCTGAGATCTCAAAAGCAGAAGATCAGCTGATGTTACCAACAGAAACCTTGCCTCTAAAAACTATGGAATCAAAACTGAAAAGAGGTGCTAACTTATTCCTAAGGTGTTAATTTAGGAGTTAACTAGCTTACTTGCAAATCTTAATTTCACTATAACTCTGTTTAGCTGACTTCACTTTTTCAATGCTTATAGTCCCATGGCAGTCCCTCAAATTCCTACCTCCTTTCATTGCTTTTTAATCCTATGAAAACGTACTAATATTGCAGTGCTATCTAAGAACCTAGTTTGTAGGAAAGACTACTAAATCATATTTTTCCCCAAAAGTGTAAGAGAAATTGGGAAATGAAATAAAGCAGTTAAATAAGGTCTCCCAGAAACACAAAAATATTGCTTCTGTTCTGACTGGTCTCAGAACTGCACCTGCTTCTTTTCTCAACTTGAATTTTAAGAAATATTCAAATTTCCTAATGTATTCTTCAAGAATTACACATGAATAGATGTTGTATATACAGTGAATAGGATCAGTCCCTCTAACTTCATCACCTAAAATTTGTGCCTTGAATTGCTGGTGCTAACAAAGGACTCCTGAAATAAGGACCTTAACGTTGCTTATAGAGGCAGATCAGATAGGTGTCTTGGAAGCTCTCCAAGGGGTGTTCCTACCCCCTGACGTTTGTTTCAACTTTAGTAAGTCTCTCTCCCTAACAGGTCTACAAACTCATGGTTCTCTCACATACACAGGAACACAAGTTCTCACCTCAGGAGGACTGATGGACATTCGCTTAAGATCTGATGTACAAGTTAAAGGACTGTTTCAGCTGGATTGAGTCTCATTCCAGGTATCCAACTGAAACAGGTACGAGACCACAAAAGTACAACTCTGCGTCAGCCACATCTCCATGAAAACCCCAGGATACCTCTTCTAGGATGTCTTAATACAGTAACTTGCTGCTCTACTTTTCCATGATTCCTTAATGAGTGGCATCTTCTAAGAGTACTTCACCAAATCCATGTGGAAACATGGTGTACATCTTTAAAGTACAGGTTTAGTCATGCATGGCTTTCTTGGGAAAGTGAAAGGTCTCTCTCAACAGTCTAAGTCCAAGACTAGGTATCTTTTTAACAGATATGTACAAACCACAAATTATGGCTGTAACGCAATAATTGATTTATATTCTTCCATCTTTCTCACTGTACTAGTCATAATGGCATTAATGCCAGCAAAAAAACCTATGTTTAGCCTTAAAAATCTGGAAGTTTCCTAGGTCCACATCTTCCAATGCTTTAAAACACTCTAAAAAGACTTAACAGACAAAACAGAAAATAAACAGCATACTCATTCATGCACAAAAGTTTGAGCTAGAGGTCTAGCACTGGTCTTTCAGTATAAACTCAAGATCACTCTTTTTCAGGTAAAAGAAATCCTCATGACAGAAAGGGCACTCTTGATTGCCTCAATTAGGAAAGTAACATTATTGCCTCCTTTAGGGTATTTCCTTTCTATAATATAAAATGGCTAATGTTTCTTAAGAATACCATCTGTCATCTTCCTGAATTAGAGCTTAATTGGGCAGCATTTAAGCAGGATATCAGGAATATCAACTTATTTGCCCAGCTTCATATCTAAATTTTGCTGTATGGTGATGGGAGGCAGCCCTTCTGACTCTGTATGAGTTTAATGTGAGGGAGCACAAATGAATGAAGCAATGATTAGGAAAGGAGCAATAGGAATGGCAATTGCAGTAAAGTAAGTTAAAGAAACAGAGAAATATATTTTAGCAAACATTTCCACTTTGGCCACTGTCAGGAGAACAAAATGCTTCTAAATATATACATTTACACACACTTTAAATATACCATCAACAGGACAAACTAGCCTTTACATGACTTTTTTCTGTTTGTTTGACAAGTCAAGATCCCAAAGGTTCTAACCATGAAAGAACTGAAGGTATTTAAACTCTTAAAAGGCAAGATCTTAATTTTTCACTTTATCTGGGCTTTGAGCTTTGCATTTTCTGTTGTATTAGACAACAACATTAAGAAAAACAGAAGAGTGAAGAATAGTGTCTCTCCTCTTTTCCTATCCTTTCAAGAGCTTACTGCTGTTATCACCTTTTTCGTGAGGCTGGCGTTATTAACAGTAATGCAGTGATATACTGAGGTACTTAAATCTCATTCAAAACAGGTGATGGTATTCCCCACATCCCTTTCATGCTAAAAGGCAACCCCAACCTCTTTAACAACAGCATGTGCAAATCTTCTCAACAGATCTTTACAGACATGGGAAGAGGTATTTTACTACAGAAAATTTCATTTCTTTATCGAGGATGTAATCCAGAGCCTGTTAAGAGTCAATGGATTGACCTCACTTTGAATCAGTGACTGCATATTCAATTTGCTTTGCCCTAAATGAAGTGTGTTGCTGTGAAGGAATGTATTCTGTGAAGCCCAAACCTCCTTATTCTGGATATTCTCTGAAGATGAAATCCTACAGGAGACTCTGTGTACAGTGCTGTCAGAGTGTGCATGCTGGTTAGACAGTAAGTATTTGCTTGCAAACCTGAGCAGAATGTTGAAGAGAAGCTCTGCAGTGCTTCATCCACTTCTTCTACGCTGGGAAGAGCTATAAGCCGAGGAAGGAGAGCTTCAAGTGACTGGATAAACAGCCGTGCACTGTGTTGGTCTGCTTCTTGGCTTTTCAGCAATTTCAGAGAGAGAGCAGCAGTACGTAAGGACCTGTGACCTGGACAATCCCGTGGTGTCTGCTCCTCATCAGCCAGGGAGCAATTGTCAGAGCCTATGTCTGAGACATCAGACCTGCCTGAATCCTTTTCTGCTGCCATGGAATACTGATCACATGAATCAAACTCAGTCCTAGAAAGGTCCTGGTCATCTACACTGAAGTTACTTTCACTGTATCTGGATCCATAGGACCGGGTCTTGCAATCAACTGATAAGAAATTAGTTATATCTGGATAGACTATGGTGTGGCTTCTTTGAACAACATCTGGCTGGTCAATGGTTTCTGACTCTGGTTCTCTGTAATGAATCTCTTTGCTTTCATGTCCAGCTGGAGATGGCAGTGAGTTTTTTTGACTTTCTGGATTATCCTCTGGAGTTGTCTGTCCCATATCCCCTTCCAAAGTAGTCTGACCAGTGTCTGTGGTAACGCTAATGCTAATATCAGGACTCTTCTCATTTCCTGATTCCCAGGCAGGATTTTCTGAGGACAGGATGCGCCTCTGCCACCTGAAGTCAGCATCATTGATTTCCATGGAGTCCCTGCTCGTTTCAGTCCCATCCTTCAATTCTTCTAAGCGCTGGAGCAGCAGCTGGATCTGCTCTTCACTAAGCCCCCTCCCTTGGCTCAGCTCATCTAATGCTCCAAGCAGGGCAAAGACGCAGGACACAGAAGCATAACATGCTTCAATACCACCTTTGATGCACGCTTCCGTCATCCCGTCCATGATACTGCAATCAATACAGAATTCATTTAAGTGATGCAACACCTATAAGGAGCACATCTCTGTCATTCAACGCCATCCCTCCATAACCAGGAAAAAAATGAAGTGAACTTATCCTATAGGACTACTCCCAAGAAAGACAATCAGTATTAGAACAAATTATTAAGTATCTCATGCAAACATGGCCATTCTGTAAAGGGAGTGCCAAAGTGCCAACCAGGGAAACAGTTACTGTGCATTTATACCAGCACGCACAGCATGTTCTCCCTTAGAGACAAGCACTTAAGCTGTAAAAAAAAAATCTCAGCACCCAAATGAACTAAATTTAAAGTGATCTGTGTCCTGAAAATTATTTTGTCTACAAGATATGATCTTTACAAGAGCTGACTACCCTTCTTGCTCAATCTGACAATGTTTAAATTTTCTATTATCCCCTTTGACTTCATCTTGGAAATGTACCTCTAAATAAACACACGGTTATTTCATTGCAAGTTTAGGGACCCATAGCCAAAAATTTCCAACTGTAAAACAACATATTTGGGTATTTTTAAAAACTCCACAATGTAGTTATCTATGCCTTTACAAATAGGCTCAGAGTGATGACAAACCAGTAAGAGCTTTTACCCCTTTTCCATTTTCACATCTTATTTAACCAGGGAGATACCCTGGCTCATATTGGGTATGCTCCTGAAGGTACAACTGCTTAAGTGTCCTGCGTGCACAGGCTTAAGAGAGAAGAGGCTACGGGAGGAAACAAAGCATACAGCTTGAGAAGATCCAGATGGGACTTCCTTTTAGAAATAGACCTCTTCTTGGATTCTGATTCAGAAGAGCAGGGCCCTGCCAAATCACAAAGCTGACGAGGACTGCCAAGTATCTGAAAGAAAAGGAAACAGAAGTAAGTAGAGGATTATCTAAGCATTATTTAAATACAATAAGTAAGTCATAATTCTATCAAGCATTAAACCCGAGGCAGCAGTGCTGTAACTTCTCACAGCAAAGGAAAGCAGCACACTGATGTTCTATTTGTTAAAGCTACCATTCCTGTTTTTAAAAGCAGAAAAGCAAACAGAGAAGAGCAGAATATCCAGCAAAAATCACATACAGAACGCTCTTCAGTGCTTTATATTTTTGACTGAATATGTTTCAATTGATATTGCACACAAGAGAATTTTTATGCCTAAATAAACATTTTGCACTATAGCTTATACCAAAAAGAACCTTTCTCTTCAGTCACCTAGTTACAAAATTATAGAGCCATGCAAAGATAGGCCTTCCTTCAGACTCAACCTGCTGGGTAGCACCTTGTTAATGCCCACCATGAAATACAATGAGAAGGCATTACAAATGAGCACGTATTAATAAGCCCAAAGAGGCAACAGATACATCCTACAGGAAACAACATTAGACTAAGCTTTTCCTAAAACTTCAGTTATCATCTTGCTACTATTTAAAACTAGAGAAAGACAAATGAAGGGATGACTGCTAGTTCAGACAACGGAGTGGGTGGCTGTGTGGTGTTAAGAGAGATCTTCAGAAACAGAACAGCCTAGGTATGCCAAAGCTAGAAGAAAAACTCTCTAAGAGATACCACTGTTCCTACAAATTATGTAAGTTGCCTTGTGTTATGCAACATGAGAAGAAAGCTCCCATGTGGAATGGAAGAGTCCATGATTTCAGCTGGTGCTCAAACAAGTCTCACTGTGCTCCAGTTATAGTGCTCTCAGAGGCACTGGGCAAGAGGCCAGAAAGGACTGGTCTTGAAATGGCTGCTTAAGCCATTAGCAGCTTCCTTGTGGCTATTCAAAAAATGCTCAAAGAAATTGTAGTTCAAAAAAATGGCAAGTAATCAAAGCATATATCCACCTTAATGCCTGGAAACTACATTGTGAGGATGAATGTTTCCTTCTAGCAAGAGCAGAGAGTGGGGAAAGATGCCAAAGAAGCTGCGAACTGGTTCATTATGCTCTATCTCACCCAAAAGAGCAGTCATGACGCAGCGATAGGATCTGCTCCATGCAGTACCACAGCACAAACACTGACAGAATTGCCACAGTAACTTGCATTATGGAGAAAAATAGAGCTATTATGGCTTCATAAAACTAAAGATATTTGTCAGAGTGGTGTTGATGTAGCAGCTCTGCTCAGAAAGTATGATTTCAACATCCCTAGGTGGGAAGGTTTGAAATGGATTGGTATACACATTTCAGCAACATTTACTGTTAAATAAACATTTTGCTTTACCTGCCTGGACTTGCACACGTGATTATCCTACCTCTTTCATAATTTTGATGGCTTCTACTCGATGTTGAGGTGGTGGGTAAAGCAAAATCCGGTGATATAGAGACTGTAGCACAGGCTTCATGGATTCCACTGACCCCATCAGTCGAACCAGTTCTGCTGCAATATAATATATGGTCCGTGCAACGGGCCCACTAAGGGCAGGTGCTGTGGAGGAACAACCTGAACCTCGGCCATGATCAGAGATCCCTGAGGAAGGTGAATCAGCCTCAAGACAGATGCTGCTGTGAGCAGAGGTGATAGTTTTGTCATGGATTGGATTTCCCAAGATTACTACTAGGGCTGGACACAGTTGCTTCCTGAGAAAGAGAACAGCAGCAGATGGTAAACAGAAAACAATAATCTCACAAGAACAGATTGAAAATAGCCCATGGTTAAATGAGATAACACGCTCTTATTTTAATGATCAGTCAACAGCAGTGTTTAGATAGAACAACAAATTATGCCAAGGCTTTTTTCATCTCCCAAGCATCAGCATGATAGTACATATGGAAATACCTTTGGGTGCTTTAGAAACATGATGGCAAGGTAGAAATTCCACGTTTCTACTGCTAAGCATCTCTTCTTCAGTCCAACTCAGGAGCTTTAAAAAACCTGACCAAACAAGTACTAATCTATGTTAACTAGAAGACCTAATGTTCCACCACTGAACTGCACATGCATGTATTTTAGTAAGCACCCTTAGCTGTGAGACTCTGTTTAGCTGGCTTTTAAAAACATAATTAAAGCTGTCCACAATAACTCAAAGTGTGCACAATAACTACTCATATGCCACTATACACTAAATAATCAACTGTCTTTCTGCATGAGCACTCATGTTAAGTGATTCAACACCAGCAGATCACTCTTCTTTGGCAGAGCCAAAGCCAACTCAGCAGTTTCCTCCATTAGCTGTTATTTCAGCTTTGCACTCATGCACTTGACATTTTACTTCAGTCTGCAAGACCTTAATTTATGAAGCCAAGTGCTGCATTAGAATGAGTCCCAAACTTGGTTTTCACCCATGTCTCAGAGGTTCAAGCTAGCACTTAGAGCAAGCACCCAATGACAGGTAACGATTTGTAAATATATCCTCACAGGTAAGTACGTTTTATTTTCTCAAGATTTTTATGCAGTTCAGAATTTTTGTTGCTTCTCTTAACATGACTGCTGAAGCAGCTTGGCTTCCTGAAGTCAGAAAAACTTTCTTCCTGAAGAAAGAAAAACAGCTTTAATCAGAATCAGATAATGACTTTAAGTCTGCTTATTTATTTCTCCAACCAGGAACATTTCAAATCACATCAATTCACACTTATTGTTTAAAGAAATGTGCCTGTCTCAAAGTAGGTGTAATCACAGGTTGTAACACCAATATATTCCCCAAACATCTTAGTCCTATCAAAGTGTATCTGTATCAAACTATGGAGAACACTGTCAGAAGAACAGAGGTAAATCTTCTCTGTCCACTCCCTTCTTTATCTTCTGTTGAGAACTGACTATAAAGCGCCAGTCAGACAGAAGGCTGTGTATGTGCATTTAGGCAACGGCTCATTTAAGAATAACAACAGCTACCAGTTGGGATCACAACTTCACCAGATTGGTAATGTTTGGTGTGTACTTATACTACTATATATTCAAAACGATGTTTGCAGTTTAAAGTGTTTCATGTCTTCCTAGTCCTTTGGGTTTTTTTCCTCCCACTTAAGCAGGTCGCTGGAAGGATGCATATTCCTTGGCAGCGATGCAGATTAAGAAGTCCCTGAAGAAGCCCTGGTGGGTTGCCCTGAAGGTACAAGGTTACAAACACCTGCAGATTTGCAGTATGAACTGGATCATCAAAATGATGCAGACTTAAAATAAAAGAGGAAGTGTTTTCTTTTAACCAAGATCATTTCAGTGACCTTGCTTATACAATGGCCCCACAGTCAGTCACATAAGCATAAACAAAGGGTTGGGTGAAATTCAAAGGCAGAAACTTCTGAAGTGGATTTTTCATGAAAAAGAGAGTTCTGCTCTTACATTAGAGCTCTAAGAGGCCTCAGCACAGGGTCCCTGTGCAACACTGCCAAGTGTTATCAACCTGAAGACCTCCCAGTCCAGCAGTCACTGATGTTCCTGGGACAGCAAGGGAAGTAATGGGTGCCATTACATATTCCATCCTTAGAATTGGGCCCAGGTCAAACACTTCAATTTCAAAAATTACACAGTAAAAGTACAAGAAACACATTTGCCATTAACAGTCACATATATCTTTCTTTAATACAGTCACCTGACAAAGTCACAAGATGGGCATGGACTGCAAGGAACTGCACATTAGCTCCATTCTTGCTTTATTACTATGACTCAATTATCCACAGGCTATAAAAACTCCACTATTTCAAATAAAAAGAAGGAAAAGGATTATTTAAGGTGCTCTGAGGTGATGGTATCAAACAATTTAGAGGCAGATATGAGCACTAAAGACATCAAGCCTTTCTGGTTAAGTGTATAAAAAAGAGAATTTCTTGATTAAAGGGGTAGCATCATGAAGATTCTTTAGCCTCAGCCCTTACACAATGCAGGTCATAAGCATTTCTGGTCACCAGCCCATCACTTGACATTAATTTTGCTTATCTTCCTGTATTACTGCATCAGACCAGTAAGAATCTCTACAGGAGACTCCTATGACAAGCAGAATATCTTTGTGTTTAATGCCACACACAAATCCAAACTAGTGCAGAAAGCATAATAGATTTTCTGTTCTGGATAAATACACTGGACTTCATTACAGGAATTCACTACCAGGATTTAATGTGCTCGCTAAGCAGGAGGTCCTACCCAATCTTATATGAAGCACAGAAAGAACTGACAGTAGGTTAACATCAAGCTCTGCTCACATCTGGAGGCTTATTACAGGTTTGTTTGCATGGCTGGGGGAGAAGGTCCTTTTATATTTAAAAACTTAGTATTTGCATTAGTCTTCAGATGTACTCACCATATTAGATCAGTGAATCCTTTGTGCTGGTGCATGCTGGGAGAGAAGCTGTTTAACATGGAAAGGATGCACTCCAAGTAAAGAAGCTGAAGTTGCCGATTGTCACTGGCAAAAAGATCCCATTCACATCATATTAGAACAAAGATTATTTAATTTTCTAAAATAACTAAGTTCACTTGAAAATTATACCATACTTTACAGTATTTGATTTATTTTGCTTCTTTCTATCCATTTATAATGGTGTGATCACCATCATCTCATTTATTTTGTACTGACCACATGCAGTGATCTGCTACTTTAAAAAAAAATCTCAGGGAAAAAAAGAGGAAGAATAAAACAGAAGTAACTACTCAAATTCAATCTAAACTTGAGAAGGTAGGAAGCCTTAAACAGAGGAAAAGGAGACAATAGAGGATTTTGAACTTGGATAGTCTCTTCAGATAATCTGAAGCACATTTAGGCTGCTCTCTTCTGGTTATTTTTTCCTCTTTTCTTGGTGACAGCCACAATTGTAAGAAGTCAATGTCTACAGGCAGAAAGTTGCATGATAACATAGCTACCTTTCAGGGCCTTGCCAGTTACTCTGTCAGAACCATAAATATAAAGGAAACTTCATGAGAAAGAATACTAAAGAACCTGTGGATGCCTGGAACTGATACACTTCTTACAACGTGCCTTAATGCAGATCATCATCATCATCTTGCACTTGACACTCACATGGTCATGCACAGGGCATCCCTGCACTCCTGATTTTATTTTCCCATATGTTGATACTGATTAAATAATGCTAAGTAAGGCACTCTTCCCTTTCAAATCTTGCTGTAATTAGAGACACTTCTGGGAGAAAAGTCTATAGAAAATTTGCACACAGATGTCTGTGCTGTTTCTGGCTCTGTAAGTTCCTGAAAATTGTAGAGCATATAACACTCTATTACTGCTCATAACAACTCCATTTTAAAGTTATGCTCATGCATTTCCAAGTAAGTAGAGTGTATGATATTCCTAAATTTAAGGAATTCTTTGATAATGCAAATTACTTCAACTGGATAAATGGTGCCTTTCTAAGAAGTACATATTAATTTGTTCTGAATATAGTTTCCGTTAGGTCTTTCCATGGCTCTTGTTATTCTTTCTATGACAGTTGCTTCCAGCCAGAAAACTTCTCCTTTGATAAGTATTTTGCTGCTGTATGGAAGTTCCTTACAGGTTAGACTTACTGGAAGCTTTTTAAAGCTGAAGAGTGCACAAAGAAGGCAAATTAACTCCTCATTTCAAGCAAGGATTAAATGAATGCATCATGAGCAATATTTCCTCTAGTAAACACTTTGTTTAACCACAGCTTTGCTCCCTAATTCCAGAACTACAACAGTACAATCACATGTATCAATGAAACTCTCAAACTCCAGGTAATAAATTGAAATTAAAAACTGAAATAACTCACTTTATGACAGCCTGGAGCTTCTCACAGAGCACAGTGAGGACAGATACAACATCATCACAAAGAGACTCCACTGAAGTACCTCCAAAAAGGACAAAGATCAGAGGCATTACATATGAGCTACTGGATTATAACCTCAATTCACTGCATGGACTTTCAGAGCTGGTCAGAGCTTCTAAACAAGGAGCAAAGCTACCAAAATTGACAGAGAAGATGCAGTAGGAAAAGTTCTAAATTAGAAAGTGATCTCCACAAAATGCAAAAGCAGCAGTATTAAATCCAGAGAGAGCATTGATTGCTTACATGCATTTACAGAAGATTAGCTGAAATCCAATTCAGATAATAGAATAAGTATACAATTAAATAATAAAAAAGGCTCCAGTATTTCTATATGGCAGCCAATTGCTGTATCTCTCCCTGCAGTTTGTCTCTACTATACAGCTTCTGGTGTCTGACCAGGTTCTGATCTTAAAAGAAGATGCTCGTGCTCTTCAAAGATTTTAGCCTCCATTCACACAAGTTCTGCAGAAATCCTGTGAGAAGGTCAAAAGCACGGATTATTTTTATCTATCAGAGAACATGTTGAAAGTTAAGCCAGAATGGGAGTAGAAAAACATTCTCCTGTAAAATAATTATTTGGCAAGTGTAAGCACACCTTCAATAGTGATGTGCTTTCAAAAGCAGCCATTATAAAAACAGTATCTTTGGCCTGGAATATAGTAACACAATCATTTACAGGTTCCACATCCTACTCCATGAATCTCTTTCAATTTAGAAAGTAAAGCCACTTACTAAAACTTTCTCCAGAACACTGAAACTCCTTAATTACAGAAGTTAGCATCTTGAAACAATAATTTATTACAATGTTGAATGCAATGCTGTTACCATGGCCCAAATGAAGACAGAACTGAATATACCAGGAGCTAACAGGGCTGTATCAGTTCTTACCACATCAAGAACATCAAGCTATGGAGAAGGTACAAAAACCTGAAGGTGCAATTCCCATGACATCAAACCGCACTGTGTTGATGAAAGGAAAGTTAAGAATAAAAAAGTTGGAGTGTAAGGAGTCACTAAAAAAGTGTTACAAGTACCTTGACTCTTGAATTTTTGCAGGGTGTCATGGGTTTCAATTGTCTGTTAAGGAAAGACAAAGGTGGTGTAATTGGTGCAAGGAGCAGAAAAATACCATAGAAGCAATACTTTGACAGCAGAGCTTTCTCAACAAATTCGTGTCCTCTGTCTGTTCTGAGCTTTTTGTTTGTTAGGGTTTTTTTTAAGTGAAGCTTTTGTAAAATGTTTTTTAAAATTCCTTAAGATCTGTTTTAACAGTCATTTAGATTTAAGAAATTCACATCTCACTGAGCTGAACCAGAATTTCTAACTTCTTAAGGGATTTTCTACACCTAAACCAACTTAGTAATAACTAGGCATGTAAGTCGCATTGAAAATAACTGAGAGGAAATAATAGTTTAGACTTCACAAAGTACTTAGAAACCAAAATCAATTGAGAATTAGAGAGTTTAGAACATTGGCATTGTTATCGTTACAGTACCAACAGAATTAATGGCAGTCAGGAAATGGAAATGACCTCTTACATCATGCGGTGTGCTATAGGATTCTTCCCATTAGTGCACAAAGGGGTCAAGCCAAATTCTTCTCTCAAGCATCAATAACAAACTGCCAGGTATTAAATGCAGCTCTCATATGCTTTTATCTAGTCCTCAGCTAAGAAAAGAACTAACAAATTGAAGATCCAAAAACTAACAAAATTTGTAGACCCAAACTGAATTTTCAAAACTACTGGTTGTATTTGTTTGTTTGGGGTTTTTGGTAAATATTTTGGCTAGTAAAATGAACCTACTTAGCTCAAACAGAAGACAAGTTTACTTAAACTGAGCAATTCTGGTCTGCAGCTGCTCAGTAGGATAAAAGCAATCTAGTCTACTAATCCAAAATAGAAGGGATTGTCTTAACCCAAGACAGATGTAAGGAAAATAATCTGCACAACTACAGTCCTTAAAATTTCCTAATACATGGAAACTGACTTTTACAAATAGTACTTTTTGGACAATATGATATTAAGGAAAGCAGCACTAACGAATGTAAAAAGTCAATGTAAATCCATGCGTACCCAGAATATTTACAGTTTCACCAAAAATGTGCTGGGATTTCACTCAAAGAGCTCTTATGGATTCTAATAATGCAATAAATAGAATGATTTTTGTTTTGCTAACAACCAAGCAAAGAATTTCATGAGTTTAAAATTATCTTCTATAAAAAAAAGTAGAAGAAAAACCTCAATTACACTTTCCTTAGTTGAGAATTTGTTTTCTTTATGTAAATATTTGTCATGCAAAAACTTTTAGCAGAAGGATTTCAATGAATCTTAGGAAAAGAAGCAAAGAAAACAAAAGAATGGAAAAGGCCAAGGCAGTCTGATGCCTGAACAAAGCCTCTTTTGTTTAATGGAAAGGGGAAAAAAAAAATTTAAAAAAAAAATAAAAATCAGCCAACCAGAGCTGACAATGTGAAAGCTGAGTTTCCAACAGATTGCTCTGAGGCAGGCAGAGTCGAAGCCCAAAAAAAAGCTTTTAAACAGGATTAATTGCAGAAGTGTCAAATAAAAGCCATAAGGCACAACAAGCCAGTACAACACACTGCATTCAGAGAAACAAAAAGGTATGCAGCCATGGACATGGAACCATTTGTTGATGCCAGAAGGCTCACCATGTTTTCTTGCTTTTGTCGTAACTGTAAAGTCAAGTCACTCAACATTTGGCTGAGGGTTGCCCGCACAGCGGTGTTAATGCTCCGCTGGTGACAGCTAGATACATATGTCTCAATGCAAACCTGATAAGGAAACAAGATAGTAGTACAAAGATATGAACTGTAACTTACCAGTAACACATTTTAGGAGGTATCGATACCAAGGTCTCTCGCATGCAGATAGTCAGCCTTCCTTACTATTGCTTTATTAGCACATTAGAAGTTTTCAGCAGTATGAAAAACCAAGTAAGTAGTATCTAGAAGCAGTATGCAATTCATCACTCACAGCTGCAAGAATGGTAGGGCAAAACTGGCAAAGTCTCCTGTCAAATACAAGTGATTTTGGCACTTGCCTTGCTCTGTAGATAATTCATTAAATGTGGATTTGATTGTTCATTTCTTGATACTTACTTGTAACCAGCCCCTGCAAGTCTATGTCTGCAATGTAAATATCCTCCAATTTATCAACTTTTCTTGAATATAAACTATATCTTGAGTGATTCAAGACATCACACACGGAAGCTCTTGCCTTATTTTCCCTTTCTCAACTAAACAGAGAGAGAGAATCCCAGAGGTTTTCAAATGTATGTATGTTGCTCGTTATGTCATGCAAGAAACACTATGCAAATGAGAACCTGAGACTGATTATCTTCTTTGACAACACAGTAGAATGGGTTAGTTGTATGCATTTGCAGTATATAAGGGACCAAACTGACAGAATGTCTCATTCTTATTGCCCTTTTTTGAGGTTCTAAGATCCCCCCAGATATTAAAAGGATTTTATTTAGTTTAAGGTCAGTGATGAAGATGGTCTTCTAAGTTAAAAGAAGGCCTGGACCAACTCTGCCCATCATTCAGCTATCACCTGAACTCCAATGGACAAAAAAAACCCCCTAAAAGCCCGTTAACCATGTACAGCCCTTTGCAGAGGCCAAACCATTCCAGTGCTGCTGAGATCATTCTTTCAAGCTGTAAGATTTCTTCTAGAGTACCTGAATTATTTGATGAAATACCATTCTTAAAGGTAGGCTGACTTTCTGGAAAGAACATGGTTGATATCTCCTTCTTCTCTCCCCTCCCCACGTGAGCTAGTAAGCAACAATACTGTCCACTTGAGCTCCAATCTTACAGAAGGCCTGTGCTCTAAATGGCTGGGCAAGGTACCTTTTGAAAAGTCATTGATGAAGAAGCATCAGTAAAAATGCGAGAGCTCAGGGCTCCAAAGAGGCGTGTAATGGACATTTTGATAATTTCATGCATTCGGGGACTTCCAGCTCTATGGCATGCAAAACACAACTAAGGGCAAAACACAGACGGGTTAGCTAATGAAACACAACAGAGTCAAACAAAACAAACCTCCAAAAGGTACATGGGAGTAACAGATACGCACATAAAAACAAGAAACAGCATGAACTAAATTTTCTTGCAGGTGTCTACGCAAGCATGGGAAGGTGCCCGGGGGAAGATATAGTTTATTTTTAATACTAATAATCTATTTTCAATACTCATAATACTTAAGCCGCAAATGATAGTACTCTTCATGTTGGATGCTTTCTTAATTTAAAGCTGATAAGGTTCAGAAAGATTTGGAATGCCATTATTTTGTACACATGAATTGCAAATGATCAGGCAGTGCAAAATGGCTAGACTGTAGCTTTGTTTTTCAGAGATAGTCCTCACAGAGTTCTATCAGTTACAAACGCAGTACCTTTCCAGTTCTGCAGTGGCCCCACTTTGCTACAGAGTACAGGCTAGGAAAAGGGACTAAGGGACTGACTTGGAAAGAAATGTCAAATAGCATGGGCACTGGAACAGAAAGCTCCTTTTGCCACCTTTCCCTTAGAGCAAGTCAGAAGGTTAACCAAATGCTAAACTGAGGAATTATTTTCTGTTTCCTACTGCTTATTCATTGCAGAATTCAGATACAAAGGCATAGTGATTCCAGCTGTTAAAGTCTTTGCCTTACCTAAAACCTGGGCAGGAAGAAGCATGTATGTGCCTGGTAAGATTTGCTATTTAAGATGACCTAGGCATTCACTGAGGCAGTACTTTCTCATGGAGTGTGAGGAAAGTAACTGTACCTCCAAACACTCCAAATAGAAACATGAACACTCTGTATTACAGCTTGTTCCAATTCACTGAAGGAAATGAGTTTTGTTTGCTTTGCTGGCACACCTCATCTGCCTGCTGTTGAGCTCTTGTTCACCATAACAGAAAAGAACCATCACTGTGCTAATCTGTATCAGTACACTAGCTAAGGTTTTTAAGAGCCAGGATAGCCTTTGGGAACGAAAGTGAAGTGCAACTACCAAGAACAGCAGTGTTTAATGTCTGTCTATGAGAAACAACTGCCATTTTCCAGGATGCTTTTTATGAATAACAGCCCTGTTATTATCCAAATTTACACAGAGAACAGAAAATATTATTTCTGATACAGCTTATAGCACACAGAACATGACTGATTGACCGTTTCCCCCCAGTCTTAAGCAGTGTTCTAAAGATTGAAATCTGAAGGGTTTAGAGTCATCAAATACTTTTCCCAGGAAGTACTTCATTTAAGCTAGAGCTCTTTACCTACAGCAAAGAGATGCACTAAGCTGCATTCATCAACTTTTGCCTTGCATGTTAGAAAGTCCACTGAGAAAAACTGCAGTAGGGGAAACAATATGTTTTCTTCAGTTTGGGACATTGATAAAAAGGGTTTAGTAGAACTTAAAGAACTGTGACTTGCTTTAAACACCAATTCAGTTGATCCTTGCTGCAGCATCATAGGTAAACCTTACTGTCTCACCTAGCCCAAAAAGAAACCAAAGCTGTGCTAATCTGGAACGATTACTAACTTTTTTTCTCCTGTTTATGTCATATACATGAACTGTGGAATTTTAAAGCCCATTTGTTACAAAATAGAAGCTGTTTTCTTCAATTCCTGGTTACCTCTACAGATCCATTCTCAGCTTCTAGTAGAACAACGCAAGGACAATTTTATTCTTAAACTTGGAAAGTACTGTAATATCCAGGTAAATTGAGCTACTTTCACATGGGATTTTTCTTTTTTTACAAAAGTCCCACCCACAATAACAAAAACCTGAGAAGGAACAAGTCTCTATATGTCTACGGACACCTGGAGTATAGGACATATATATAATCTTTAATATTTTTCATGGGCATTTCCTCTGCCCATACCATGTTAACAATATAATTTTATAATATGTTCCGCACACAACAGTGTGTGCTGCGCAGGAGGAGCAAGCATTCCGGTGCATCTTCTCTAACCTGAACAAACAACACTGTGGCTTGCTACAAAATGTACTAAAAATATCATCCACGTATAAAAGCTTACTTAATATACCTGCAGGTATGTTTTTCTACAACAAAAGATCCTACACAATTTAATTCAGACTAAAATCTAATGGAATAAAGGGAGTGCAGTGACTATTAGCATCATACATCTACAGGCATGCTTAAATCTTTTACTAAGATGTTTTAGGAAAAAGGTTAACAAGCACTTCTGCTAACATGACACACTATGGCTTATACACCTCTCTTGAGGAAACTTCATCAGTTTTAGACTTGAAGTAGGTAAGAAATCAGCACAGTGCTGTTTTATAAAGAAGAAAAGCAAAGTAAAGTAAATATGAGTAGTAAATGTGCAACACTGTAATATACAATTATGGGTCCATTTCCAAAAGTGCCTTCCCATGCAAGCCCGTCAAACCTGCCCAACTTGCAACTATTTCTTACACTAGAGAATGGTAGTTATGTTTTGGACTGGTTTAATTCCACGTTATGTAAGGAAATCATGCTGTAGGTAGCAGGGAAAAGTTAAGAGACACAAGCCACGGTATGACAAAGGCACTTACCTCAGCAATCTTCAACACTGAACTCCCATTCAATTCAAATGTAGAGGTATATGTTATACAGAGCAGGACCTTGCAAAAAAAGAGAGAGAGGAAGGAAAAAAATTGTTTCATTGGTTATTGCCTCCCTTTCCCACTCATGTGCCGCAGCTCCTTTCAATTTTTAGAGCAGGCATCAGAAGCTTCGTAACACCATGTATTACTGGGATAGAGGAGATCCACCTGAGATGCTGCATCTGTTGGCCCCAGAGGTAACACCCAATGGATTACTTATTGCTATCTCCTACATATGACCACCAAAGACAACCCAGTGTGAAAGACAATCAACCTTGGCCTTGAGTCAGAATCCGTTCATATTTCAACGACAAACTTTGCATGATTTATAATCAGGCCTTTAATTTATTTCCATTAGTATAACAAAGGAAGAAGGAAAAATGCCTACAAGTTATTACTTAAGAGTCACAGATAGATACGCATTATGTGAGACAAGCCATTAATCACTGCCTGACATGACGATTTCCCAGCATAGGATATTTCCAGTAAGTGTATTATAGTCATTTGATAATGAGCATCCAAAAAACAATTCATAGGTCCCAATTAACGAGGGGAGGCTTGTCCTGTCTTGAACTCAGCAAGAGGAATAAGAACTAAAAGCCCCATCTAACACCTTACTTCAAAGAGAAGGAGAGTGAGAATGTGATGTCATCTACCATGTCTAGTGGGGCAATGTGGTGAGAGCTGCAGTGCAATGCCTTTAGTATCTGGAGATGTCCTCCCCGTCTCCCTTCCTCCTTTTCAATCCCTCCTTCCTCACAAAAGACAGAGAGTCTGAGCTACTGTTCTCTCTCCTTCAAAGCATAAAATTTACCCAGTGCCAGAATTTATGTTTTGCTTGGTCTCAAATAGTATGAGTTTCCTGGGATAAGTGTACCAGCAAATACCAATCACATTAACACTAATGTTTTGGTCCCTACAACTTCTCAGTCCCTAGAAACTACTGTTCTCTGCTTCACAAGGAAATTAGGGCCATCAGATAAGTTAGCATTACTGATTGTTAGCTACAAGCAAAGTACAGAAGAGCTTGTCCATGGATGAATATGTTCCTGGAAAAAGACATATATAACCTTCTTTGTATTTTGAGAGTCAGACTGAAAAGTTTCTACACACTGAAATGCATAACACCTTTACAAATATTTTTCTCATCAGAAAAAAACATATTTCACTACAAGATGTCACACCTTACTCCAAGGTTGTTCGGGGTTTTTTTTGTTTGATTGTGTGCTTCATTTTGTAAATAAAATACCAATCAGGAGCTTGATCCTATTATTATAGATGATGATTTTACTATAAAAAGTGTTCCCAGAAAAATATTGTGTAATGGCAATTTTACAGCTGCCTGTATGTGTTATCTTGCCTTGACTCTCAGTCTTTCATAAAAATAAGCCAAATAGTGTGGATAAATACTAGAGGTAATGGCAATAAAAAAAGGTATACTACTCTTCAGAAGTACAATAGTCCTGCACTAGAAACTCTTTTTTAGATATTTAGCATTTACCCTTACAGCAAAGCAAACTTTCTGAGCCAAGTTTCTTCTCCATGGTTTCTCTTTTCTTTGAAATGGGCAAAATGGATTTTCTCATCTTAAAAGTGTTACACAGCCTACCTCAGTATTGCAAGGAGAGATATGAGCTACAGAGCACTTGAACTTGCCAGAGAAATAAATCTAATTCTAACTACAAATGATTAAGAATGCTGTGCTTTGTACTTCTTATATGAACTCCACAAATGTCTCTGCAATCCATATCATTTACTGGTACATGGACAGGTACCAGAGAGAAGGAACCGTGATACGTCTTTTCCTGTCAACAGAGCAAATTCTACAGAATAACAGAAAAGTAAACAGTCAATTATAATAACTCTCAATAATTTCATTTGGTTAATAAGTACATAAGTTATAAGGGCTGTTATTTTCATCTGCTGCTCAGTACATACCTGCAAAATTTAAAACTACAAAGCCAAACAATTTCGTTTGACATTAACTGGATTCTAAGCTGCTGGCCAGCCTCACAGTCAGCTGTTGGGCCTCACTTTCTCAGCTGTTAATTAACCTGAAAGTTTATTGATGTTTCTAATAGCTGTGAGAGCTCAACAACTGGCTAAAAATATATATTCATTACTTAAGGAAAAAACTGTGATTTATACTCTCCAGACACTGCTGTGTAAAACACAGGTGTAGAACACAGTTCAGAAACCGAGAGACAGACAACTCTCACCTCCCACTGACAAACCTCTTCTTACCATGCTAAGAGCCACAGTGGACAGCCAGGCACATGACTAATCTTATCCAGTGGTTTGTCTGTCCTGAATTTCCCTACTTATAAAACCTCATTTGCTTCATGGGATTTTCTGCTCTCTTGTCCCATCTTGGCTTTGTAGAGTGCACTATTATCTAATGCTTTCCAGAGATCGAAACCTGGAAGTCAATATACTACAACACATAGAAGTACGCCAGTTTAGGCATTCTTTTAAGCCCTTGCTCTTCCAAATCTCTTCTTCCTCTCCTTTTTTTTTTCCTTTAATTCCCCTCCTTTATAGAGCTGAATTATGAAAAGTTTGCACACACACACACATATATATGCCTAATCCTTTCTGTCACAAATGCCAAAAACCTGCAAGTAACAGGTGAATGACAGAAAGGTCAGATATCAAGTGCAGTGAGGAAGTGATGATCAAAACCTTGCTATGAAACAAAAGGGAAATTCAGCAAAAAGACTACTAAGTTTTGATTGCTACTTTTTGCAAAAAAATAAGATCTGAGAACCTATTAGCT